TTACCGCGGGGGGTCCGATCGCAGTGCTCCCTTATTATGTAATTGCGGAGTTTGAATTGACACGTGCCACGGCGCGCTTCTTTTCCGCAGCACCAGCGACGCGTTTCAACGCCCCTTGGCCTCCCCCACCCTGACACCCACGTGACGTTATCAGTTACGTTTATGCCGGCATAAGTCAGAGACGGCGGCTATTTGAAGTATTTGAGCGTATATATGTGTTTTGGTGGCTTATTGAGCTGGGTGAAAGCTGGGGGGAACAGGGTTCCCCCCGACCCCCCTCCTTTTGCCTGACGGCATGTTAATATTTTGAAAACAGGCTTTTTTGTGATTTTTCAGTTGATTTCAGGCTTATGAGTACTGAAGCGCGGGGGAGACCCCCGCGGACCCCCCTGCACTCGCCGCGAGGCCCACTGCGTGGTGCTGCGCTCGCCGCTGGGCCCGCTGCGCGGAGCGCAAGGCAAAAAAGTTTTAGTGTGCGTAAAACGCGCCTTCAGAGATTCGAACGAGTAACCGAAAGAACTAAATTATATAACGTATCTTCATCTCCGGCGGCGTAACCGCTCAGCAACGAGGCTGTTGGAACAGTGGAAATTAACTCTCCTAGACCACTAACCGGCGCTCGGACCTTCCCTTTTGGGCCTTATCTTTGATAAAGGTCTTATCATTTCCATATAAGGCAATGTCAGGGTGGGGGGCGTATGCCAGATACGCGTTTCTTCCTCACCTCCTGCTCAGGCGCCCGCTCAAACCTCAGTCTGTCTCTCCTTCTGGGTGCTCTACCTCATGTCTGGGCCTCCTGCGGACAGCCAACCACCGAAATTACTGTGCCTCGTAGCCACATAGCGAGCCTTTGACCCTACTAGTTCCTATCGGACACCAATGTACCTTGACCCTCCAGTGGTGTTTGCCCACTCTTATTCTCTGTACTCTCTCGCCTTGGATTCCCTCCTGGCCCACTTGCGTCGGTCGATAAACGCCAGCAAGAATGACAGTGAAGTGAAGGAAGGAAGATACAGCGGTGAAGGCGCACGCAGGATACGTGGCCTCGAGGTACGTGTACCGCCTCTCGGGGAGATACCCTTGCTCATCCACCCACCCACTACAGTGCACACCGACACGAAGAATCGCCGGTTTTTTCCTTTACAGTGTTTATCGCGCCCGCATTCACTCGTTAACTGTACGTCCTCATTTTCACTTTCTTTACCTTTCTTGCGGACTTGCACTCACAACACGCGCCCACCTCGAAACCTCGCTGCCGTCGACGCTGGGAACGTGCAGAACGTGGGCGATGACGATCGAAGGGGGAGGGAGAGTGCACCCGGCCAGACACCAGGTACGAGTGTACGCTACCTGCGCGGAGGGAATTAGTGAAAGGAAGAAAGAAGGTGTGTACTTTTCTCTGTGTTCTTCCTCATCTCTGTCTCCCTTACTTCCTGCTTCATCGAGCCCCGGCGTCGTCCCCATCTCCCTCCTCGTTCATCTCTACCCATCCCTCGCCGTCTTGTACGCTGTCGCCGTACCCTTTGCGCACACCAGCCGCTTCCGCAATGACACAACCTGGTCGTTACACCTACCCAAGTGTGCTGTGCCGGTAACTTGGGCTCCGCGTGCGCATCCACCAGAATGTGGCCGCGGTCAATGTTCACCATCGTTCAGTGTGCCGGCAGATGCAGCCGTGTACGGACTAGTAGTCTGCGCGCGTCGCCGAAGCCCTCGGATTCCGCATCTTCTGAGTAGATTCTACTGACAATCCCTCACCATCCATCCCCACCGCGCCGTCTCATTTCGTTCTAATGTTGCTGTACCTCGATATGTGATTCTGAAATAATATCTGTTCTCAACACTCACAAAGCCGCGGTCTGAGTTGAAATTGAACTTAACGCAAGCTAAGACAGCCAATGCCTCCTTGCGCGAGTACTTAACTTTTGAAATCAATACCAAGAAAACGGCCTCCGACAACATTGACATTGAAAATGCCTGATGAATGCAGGGATCTTTTGACAATCTTCATGGGTTATTTCGCGAAAGTAGAACCCTACAACGTTTGCCGAAGTTGAATGGATTCCAAATCGGGCGTGTTGGGACTCGGCGGGCCTCAAGAGCTCAGGTCGTGGCATTTATTGAGCAGAAGGGTAGAATTTCAGCATCCTGGTACCCTGATCGCGTCGCAGGAAAACTTTGACGAGCGGAGCATAAACATAATAACTTCATTACGACGTGAAGACGCCACTGGTTCATAACAGGGTTCGAACTTGGGCTATTCACAGTGAACCCGACGGTGTTTTCTTAACAGTCTCACATTTAGGAGCCCGCGGTGATGCTAGGTCGCGTATTCTGGGGCTCAAAGGCCAGTAGAACGCGCCGAAGAGGAAGTTTCGCGCGATGTGATGGGACCCCTGAAAATTCAAAGTCCGCAATTACGTAATAAGGGAGCACTGCGATCGGACCGGCGCGGTAACTAACAGACTTCAACAAGCGAGTTCCGAGCTTGATCGTTGAAGCGTCTGTCTTTGAGAGACTAAAGAGCTCCTGCCCCGGGTCCAACTTGAACTTCTGGCTAAGTTGCGGGCTGAAAAGGCTGCCGTGAAACAAAACATCCTATATTAATTATGTTCTATTTCTATTTCTATATGCCGTACCTGGACCCGATTCAGGGAATGAACGAATTCAAGTTGTAGAAGATACATACTTACACACATTCAGGGGCTCCAATTGACACTGACGTTGCGGGGACACGCGAATTGAAGTAAGAATATACCTGAAATGAAGGAATCGAGTGCAGATTAATAAACCGCGACGAACCCTCACTGAGCCTTGAACTACGTTGAACCCCAAGTCGTGTTAGTTCAGCAAAAGGAGTGCACCCACACCTGGATACCCAGGAAATCCCAGAAGAGACTCGGCACACCCAGTGAAGAGGCTCTCACCCAAATCTGCGTGAGGCGACCCATAGGTGAACGCAAACGAATATATCTACGGGAAGACGGGCGTGGGAATTCCATCAAAAGGGTTCGGGTTGAGGCCGTTGAGCCCAGGGCGGGTCAGTGGAGGTCGGGAAAGTAGTAAGAGTGGAGAGGGTGTACGGGTATTGCATTGTATGGTCTTTGGGCGGGGTACTTGAGGTTGAGGTGGATATATGCGGTATATTCGGAGCGGCATCTTTGGGAGGAGGGATTCAGATAGGAGGAAGGAGGGGAGGAAATAAACACACATGGAAGAATGTATTAGTGCAATAGGCCTATTTGAATATGTTCTGGGGCTGAGTGGGACAAAGTTAAAAGAGCCACGAGGGACGGACGTGGTTGAAACTTGAATTATGTAAGTTCACTTTGGAGCATGGGTTTGAATGTTGATGTTCGTCGGAGGAGTTGAGAACTAAATAAGGAGCGACTGTAATTTGTTATTAATGGTTGAGAAAGAGAACGAGGAAGGGCAACTTAGACTGACCTAAGTGAGTGGATTTTGCATAATGGGCGGGTGGTTCGACACCGTGGTTGTGGCAGTTAAGATGGATGCCTGGAAAGAAATGGACGCGTGAGCGACAAATAAATGGGAATGGGCATGGGAAATGATTGTACCTCGGTTGAAAGAGGGAGCAAAGCAAGGTACTTACTGGAGTCGGGGCAAAGTTCGGTTGAATGTTGAACATTGAGCTTGAACACCGACGTTGCGAGGACATGAGGATGTGTATTGAAGGGGCTGGTGTCACAATTCGATTCCAGTCTTATCGTTCCAACGCCATCTGAGACTGTTGCCAAACAGGAGCACACAGATAAGATAACGGCAGACGAGACCCCTAAGTCAGAGCCAGAACGGGAAGAGACCCCTGAGCCCGAGCCTATACCTGAAAAGGGATACGGCTTGAGTATGAACTAGTTGAGTTCAAGGACCTGGACTACAACAACGAGATCTTCGGCATTCCTGAAGATCAAGACGAACAGACCTTCGGCCAGGAGTCAGCCAAAGGCGACAACTCCGAAGTCTCGGAAGAAGAGATGACGGAACTCGAGTCAACACCCGAGAGTCGGAGCAAGGCCCAACTCCAGGAGTGGCTAGACGCTCTTGAGCAGATCACCTTCGGCAGCCAAGCCGGAGACGTAGAAGCCGGGAACCTGCTAAGGCAGAGGCTGGCCAAACTCGATGATAGGGTGTTGTGAGCTATCACTTTGTGATTAGCTCTAGACACCCTGCCACACAGAACAAAAGCGCCTTTCAGAACAACGGCTCGAAGCATGGTCACTGGCGCACTTGCACATTGGAAATCACTGATGGAAATCACTGGCGCACTTTTGGAAGTTAACGGCTAGATCACTGGCGCACTTTTGGAAGTTAATGGCGCATTCACTTGCTGGCGCACTCAAAGATTACAAGGGGTGCCCGCATTTGAAACCACTGGCGCACTTACAGATGGTTAATAAAGAAGTTAACAGCGCACTCAAAGATTACAAGGGGCGCCTGCATTCGAAACCACTGGCACACTTACAGATGGTTCAGAAAATAAAGGCGCGCTTTCGCAAATAAAAAGAGGTAGCTTTGTTCCTTGAACGAAGCTACCACTTTAAAGGCCAAACCCCGAGTCGAACGAGGGTAGTGGAACGAATACTGCCAATTGAACATCTGTGCACTAACCGCTGTGCTATCCGGCCGCAATGACTTAAAACGAATCGCACAGAACTATCAAACTGTAAAAGAGCGCCACGCACCCCGAAGATGGAAAGGTGCCGCGACAAGAAAAGAGTGTCATATTAATCAGCGACCTTTTACACATTTATTACACACACCAGGTTGTACCTGCGACGAAGACTACCAGGAAAAGCCCGCGAGTTAAAAAGGCGCTGAGCTAGGAAAAAAGAAGTAGTTAAATTTTCCAAGGCCAGACCCCGAGTCGAACGAGGGTAGCGGATTAAATATTGCCCTTGAACCCATCAAGTATCCGCGCACTAACCGCTGTGCTATCTGACCGTGATAGCTAGGGACTGGGGAACAATGACGACGTATACGAGAGAAGGACGCGCTGTTTGAAGAAAGGCGCAGGCGCGGTTTGGAGAAAGAGCGCAGGCGCTGTCTAAAAGAAAGGCGGGCACGGTTTTAAGGAAAAGGCATGGGCGCTGTCTAAAAGGAAGGCCAGCACGGTTTGAGAAAAAGGGCGCAGGCGCGCTTGGGAAGAAAGGCGCCGGGGTTAGACCAATGGGGAAGCAGGAAAGGATATAAAAAGGGGGCGCGAAGGAGAGAGGAGGCATCTAAGTACCTCCACTGCATACTGCTAAAGGAAAGGTGCTCCCATTGAAACGGGAGGTGCTAATCCAGTACATTGTCAAATCAAATAAATTAGTGTGCCTTCACGAGAGTGGGGTAACAAGGGTCACCTTGACCGCGGTTGTACAGAAAAGAAACTGCGCGAGAGACCTCCGAGACAAGAAAGGAGGAAACATTGGAAATAACAGGTGTTGAAGCACGCGTTCAGTTGAAGAAAAGTGCGGCGCGATCCTCCAAACAGCCAGCAGACCTACCCAGGCTGCGTGTAACTGTTGACTTTTGGTGCTCATAATGCACCCCTTGCGTGCGTAGGGCGCATTTATCGAGAAGGCACCTTTTACCAGCTCGACTATACCATTTCCCCCATCCAATTCGGCACATCTCACTCGATTAGCTAGAAAGGCGCCTCGCGTCTGGCTATTTGCGTGCGCACCAATATTCAGATTGCAAAGGAGCACATTACAATCTAAAGGCGCTGCATTTACCCAGTTCTGAAGAAACTGTTTGCGCACCCTATACGAAGCAAGGAGATACGAAAACACCACATTACTCAAGTTTACCGAGTAGGAGCGTACTTCGCATCGCAGAGCGCCAATCCTTTGCGCGAGTGTAGAAGAATCTCCCATCGCGTCTTTTTCGGAAGGCTAGCCGCCAACGAGAGACCAAACTCTTGAGGAACCTAGCGCCTTTCTCGAAATCTGCTACTCGCAGACGAGAAAATCTGTATTAACCACCACCACCACATAAAATATCACTCCGTAGAAGTAGAGAGCGCCACCAGCCCGATTATTTCCCCCTAGAGGACGAATAAAACTATTGTATTACAGTTTGACTGTAATTCCACAAGCAGATTCGAGTACAGTAACCACAGTCCACATCACAGTGTGTACTGGAACACACATGAAAACTACCAAGCTTTCTTCGATTCTCGACCTATACTCAGGCAAAGTGAGACTAGAACTGAGGAAATATATTCTCCTCGGAACGATATTCTACACTGCTTACAGTCAAAAGCGCCGGCGATTAACAAGTACTTTGAAGCCCAACTTAGAGCCTTAACAGGTGTCTTAGTTCAGCTTCACGGTCTACCACTGGGCTCCAGGAGTTGGCTTACGGCCAGATTCCTTGAGTACCGAGGTGAACAAGAGGAACCACTACAGTCTTGGCAGCTGAGCGCTACTAGCGGTAGCCTCATTACGATAAGGGAATTTAACTACAAACCCTGCCTTAGAGCTAGGAACCGGCCAACGGTTGAGCCTAGAAACTCGAAAGGAGTAACATCAGATATTAGACAACGCTCCCAACAGTAGTACTGAAAGGAGTTAGGAATGATACCGCCAACCGTTGGACAAGCAAAACTCGTCCAACTGTTGGCGTCAGAGAGACACTCATGACGGTTGAGTACACCAGACAGAAGAAGCGGCTAGACCTGATTCGAGCACCCTAACTGTTGGAGATTCCAACGGTAGGACTTAACTCGTACCATCCTAACCGTAAGTACCGACAGCCAGGCTGAGCTATTTATAGAAAATTGGCCTAATGGCTGGCGGTTGGTGGCCGTGCAACCTTACGGTAGAAACCTGCCTATGGCAAGAATACAGGAAAAGGTCCCTACCTCAGTCCAACGGTAGAAACTTACTTGGATAAGATATAAGATAAATAGGTCTCTTACAGTTGGAACCCCTGGCGGCCAGTCTGGTCTATTTATAGCCGATTGACCCGACGGTTAGCCATGGCTGTGCAACTCGACAGTAGCACCCCTACCTATAGTAAACATTCAGGAAAGACTTATACCGTTGCGACAGTCCAGCAGTAGGGCCAAGTACCGAACAAGATACAAGATAATATGAACTTTACGGGAGAAACCTCCTACGGTCTAACTGCCTCCGACGGCAGCGGTTGGTCTGACCAAATGACGGGAGATCAACTGACAGCTGGAGGTTGGCAACCGGAACTACGGGAAGCGGACGGTTGAAGTTTGAACTGGAGATACGTTCCTTGAAAGGTGGTCTACCATTGGTCTGAGACCAGCGGTAAGCCATTTACCAAGTCCTCTTGAGATAAAGAAATGAAAAAGATACTAGTTGAAGTGCCTACGGTAGAAGGGCTTCAGCGGTGAGTGGCAGAAGAAAACCATTCGCCATCGGGGCAATTCGGCTGAGATCACGACAGTACGATCACGGACTAGAGATAGGCGGTCGAAAGCACCCACGGTTTGGGAATTCAGCCCGCCATTGGATCGCTAACTGCAGGACCACACCACCCAACAATCATGACATATCACGACATTCCGACTCAGTTCTGTTTATCTCCTTTTTGCTCCTACCGTTTGTATAAATAATAGCTACATTGACAAATGCACTCCAGTAGACTACCCCCCACGTTTGGAGGAATATAGTGCACTCAGAACGAGACAAGAAAAGATTTAAGATACTGCAATAAGATTGGATCGAGGTGTGTACGTCCCCGTGCAACTGCCGTTTAAGACCATCATAAGTGCAGCCACCTAGCCAGCCGCTAGCCTGTTGGTTGCCGCCGTTGCCCACCGGAAAGTAGCCGCTGTTGAGTTTATCTCCCGCCGTTACGAGTACCGTCCGTGGGAATTAAGGAAAACCTCGTCCCTTTCGGCTTACGGTGGACTATTCTGTGGCCAGAGTATTCACTGTAGCGTTGCATGGTCTACTTCTGGACTTACTCACAGATGAGTTGCCTATAAGTCGAAGTTCAAATCCGACGGGAAACACTTCTCACGAGATAAATCTATCCTACCGTTAAAGAAAAGCCAACCACTGCCCTTACCGCTGTGAACCAACCATCTTGAAGGGTGATACGTACCCTACTTCCCTGAACACACACATACACAAGTATTGAGACTGGAGTTAGTGATTTGATTAGATTTGGAGTTAGGGTATTGGTTTGAGTTATACTCGCTACACTTGATTAGTGCTTCATATGTGATGATTTCACGGCTGCACCCCAGTGCACCGTTTCATCGAGCAGAAGGTTCTCCAAGAAGAAGCTGAAGAGAACCAAGCCGCTGACCAAGGGATCACAGAGAATATAGATCCTGAAGTCAAAGATCTTGTAGACATTCAGAAGGATAAGGATGATAACGAGATAGCAGAACGGGCACAGGTTGAAGTGCCGAGACACCCACAGGCACCTAAAATAGTGGAAGCGCCCAGGCGCCCCTATATTGTTAGCTGGGTCTCCGCAATGAAATCATCTCGTACCTCGCTTGTCCAAGAGAATCACAACAGTAGATTGTAGAGTAATGGACCGTGGTGTTCACACTGACCTGATGCGAAAGAGAAGTGTACATATTCACTGTGGTGGTCCCAACGAAGGGTTAGGTGAACATCCAATTGAGCCAAAAATTGAACCCTTCTTACGTAGTTGAGGCTACATTATGTCTGACCCGGTCGGTTTGACCATAATGACAGTTATCTACACCATCTAGAATAACTCAAGAAGAAGAAAAGTACCTGAAGTCGAAGCATGATGACACCCACCCTATTCCCGACATGCCCGAGGCCAAGTCATACTGGATAGTGCAGCTACATCTGGACCCCTAATTTGAGAAAGCTCAAACAAACAGCCTTCACGTGTATGTGGCTCGGAGCACAAGCTTACCTGTTTCCATTCAGAGAAAGTATACTTTCACTCTGTATGTACCTTGACTGGTTATCACAATCAATCTTTCAATAAATAAATAAATACTTGTTTCAAAAGCTACCTACAGCCATCACCACGTTGCTTTCCGCTACATACTGTCTAACAGTTTCTTGATCTCCAGTGTGTCTGGATGATTGTCACCCAGAACCTGCTTCCGTTTTTCTAGCACAAGAACCCTGAGTTCTTGGGCCTTGTGATGCTCCCCCAGGTCTGAGTATGAGCTGGCCAGACTAACCATGGTATGCAGGGTGTTTGGATGATTCTCACCCAGAACCTGTTTCCGTTTTTCCAGCACCATAACATTGAGTTCTTTGGCCTCTTGATGCTCTCCCAAGTTTGAGTATGAGTTGGCCAGATTACCCATGGTATGCAGGGTGTCTGGATGATTCTCACCCAGAAGCTGTGCCCGTTTCTCCAGCACAATAACCTCAAGTTCTTTGGCCTTTTGATGCTCTCCCAGGGCTGAGTGTGAGATGGCCAGATTACCCATGGTAAGCAGGGTGTGTGGATGATTCTCACCCAGAACCTGTTTCTGTTTCTCCAGCACAATAACATTGAGTTCTTTGGCTTTTTGATACTCTCCCAGGTGTGAGTATGAGTTGGCCAGATTACCCATGGTAAGCAGGGTGTCTGGATGATTCTCACCCACAAGCTGTGTCTGTTTCTCCAGCACAAGAACTCTGAGTTCTTGGGCCTTTTGATGCTCCCCCAGGTG